CCCACGCGAATATGCCACGCAGCACCGGGACACTAACCACGACAGCCACGGGACAACGCGCGCCAATAACAAACACGGGACGCATAACCATAACACAGAAGAATGAAAAGCTGACAATACCGGCTGTCCACACCCCGCAAGTCAAAGAAAATCTACTGTCCGTGCACGACCTCACGAAGCACGGACAAGTAACATTCGCAAGAAACAAGGCAACCCTCCACCAACCCATCCGCCTCCCGCCGCCAATCATGACAGCTACATTCCGCGACGGGCAATACAGGCTCGACCAAGACGCCACAGCCAAAGGGGCACGCACATACCACCGTAAAAACAAACACATTACAAAAACAAAACCCCACGCCGCCCCGCGCAACAAACACACCACAACTGCCCCCACCGAGCAACGCAGCAGCTACATACCATTGCGCACACAAAAACCACGAGCACCCAACATGCGCACAGCCCCAGCCCCCCCACCAAAATACAAAAAGTCAACACAGGCACAAAAACAAATGTCGGAATGGCATCTTAAGCTCAATCACGCCAACCCCAAAACAATTGCGCACATGTCCAAACACAGGCTACTCCCAGCCCTACCCCAAGGACTATCAGACACCAGCGCAACAATAACATGCAGCGGGTGCATATACGGAAAGACAGCACGACGACCGCACAAAAGGGCAACGCATACAGCCGACGAAGGCGACAGCCTGTCCTCAGACGTCTGCGGCCCCATCGAACCCACGTCGGCCCACAACGCGAATTACTTCCTCACAATTATCGACACGAACACGAGATACATTTAGGTACACTACCTAAACAACCGCGCACAAGTCCCGCATGCCCTAATCACAGCAATAGATCAAGTGGCCACCGAGAACGGCCAACACGCCCGCCTCCTGATCACGGACAATGCAAAAGAATATCTCGCGAAACAAGTGCAAGACAAACTGCGACAAAGAGGTATCAACTACCGAGCAACGACGCCGTACACGCCACAAGAAAACGCGCTCGCAGAACGTATCAACCGAACGCTGATGGACAAAGTACGCGCCACCCTCTCGCACAGCAACCTCCACGCAACACACTGGCAAGACGCCCTACAAGACGCCGTGTACAAGTACAACATCACGTACCATCATGGAATAGGAGCTCTACCGCACAAAAAATGGCATGGCACAGCGCCCCGAATTAAATCGATCATCACATTCGGACAAATAGGGTATATCCCCAACCTCAAACCACACCTTCCTAAACTCCACAGCAAGGCCACACCAGTCCGATACATGTACGGCATGGATGACACGCATATCTGCGTGCAGAACCTCCAAACAAGACGCTACCAAAAAATACGGGCAATCGATTTCAAGCCCTATGCCAAACAAAGAGACCATGCAACACCACCACGGCCGTCTTCCAGGCCAAAAGGAAGCAGAAACGCAACACAAAGGCCAGAAAAATCCCCACAAAATCACGAGGACCACGGCACCCCCCAAGACAAGAAAGCAAGCCACCAAATTCCCCGACGCGGCCGAATGGCGAACAGCGCATGACGCAGAACTCGATCAACTCGACAGTATGCACGCGATAGATTGGCACTCCCCAACGCCCAATATTCCCAAACGCGACATACTGCCTACGACGATGACCTACAGATACAAACACAGCTCGGCATCGGCGAACCCAGCACGAAAAGCACGCTGCTCCATACGAGGGGACCTCATGAAACCGACCGTGCACTATGACCCGGATAAGACAGCCACATACATGGCAGACAGAACGACAATACGAGCACTCTTCGCAATCGCCGCTTCAATGAACATGCACGTCGAGCATTTTGACATTACGGGAGCCTACCTACACGAACAATACCAACACCACAGGAAAGTATTTGTGTGGCATCCACCCCGTTTTGATGGCACGTACAAGCACGAAAGCACTCATGGCCAACTGAAAGGGAACCTCTACCGCACACCGGCAGCAGCGAACATATATAGCACGCAACTCCATAACCACCTCAAAAACATGGATACAAGCAGCTACGCTCGGACACATCACTGTTCACAAAAAAGGACAAGCACGACATAATCCTCATAGGGATCAGCATGGATGACTTTTTGCCAGTTGCAACAAACCCCACCATGATTGACGCACTGTACAAGGTACTGCGAGCCAAGTACAAAGTCAAAACACTCGGACGCCCCGAAAAATACCTGAACTGGACCATACAGTACAGGAAAGAAGGGATCCACGTCTCCTAGCCACAGCACATCGACAGCGTAGTGGTCATGCTCGTTCAAACCCAGAGCAACCCACAACGCACACCATACTTCGACGGTATCAAAGTAGACCCTCCCACTAACGCGGAGACCACACGAGAGGATATAGCTGAAATATACAGCAGTTCAGTGGGGGAAATCAGGTACATAGCCGACTCGACAAGACACGACATCGCCTTCGCGGCGACAACAATAGCGCGAGCGCTAAAAGGACCCACGCAGCGCCACTGGAAACTGCTGCAACGACTGGCACAGTAACTCCACGCGACCCGCACGGAGGGAATCCTCATGCCAAGAGGAACAAAACAGGGCATCACAATCGACGCGTTCTCAGACGCTGACTATGCCAAAGACGAGACGACGCGAAAATCCGTCACCGGCTCAATCACGCTGCTCAACGGCTCCCTGGTACAATGGCTCTCGCGACAGCAACCAATCGTCGCCAAGAGCACATGCCAGGCGGAATACATAGCAGCCGCCGAAACCGCCACCCTCACAATCTGGCTCGCCAACATGATGAAAGAAACGAGCATACCGACCCGCCAACCCGTCCTGCATGTCGACAATACGGCCGCCGTGCAGATGGCCAAAAACACCGGCGCGACGCGCAGAAGAAAATGTATCGATGTACGATACCATTTCCTGCATGAGACAATTCAAACCGGCAAACTTAAAGCATCGCGCATTCCCACCACAGAGCAAAAAGCCGATATATTAACGAAACCGCTCAAAAACACGCTGTTCCAAAAACATAAGCACAGCATACAAATCAACCCACCCCCCGCACCGCCCGGAAGCCCTCGCGTCCGGGGGAGTGTGGTTCCATCCAGAACCGCCAACGACGCTCAGACTTCCTAAACACAACGCCAACACAATGGTTCCATCCAGATAAGGCAGCCCTCACAGATAAGGCATACAGCCATTTAGGGCTACCACAGCAAACAGAATAAAGTCGCCGTCGCCTCCGCCACCTTCGGGGGTCGGAGGCATCGGTCTGATCTTGGCATCACATCGCCGCGACGGTGTCCAACAAGTCCACCTGCCCACTCGGCGCATGACTCGACTTGGGGGGGACCTTCAGGCGGGGTAAGTGCCCTCCGTGGTACGTGCCCTCCGCGAGGATACTGTAAACTTTACTCGTATCGTCCTACGGCTTTCGTTGCAGTACTGTACTGTAATACCGATGGACTGGACAAGCCCCTGGAGTACAGCACCGTATCATACGCCTCCCTGGAGTCCCTTGCAGCCCTCGTTGCTGGCGTAAAATTCTTGTCAGTGCTCACGATGTGCCAACACCGCAGCAACAATCCGCACAACCGCCGCCCTGTTTTTTCAGCGTAGGAAATCACTCAAAATTCACTGTCAAGCGGGCACTTACCGTAAAATAGCTATGGGCCATTGGATGCCCTGCATTTATTCGAATGCGAAGGGTGGAGGCAAACCTTTCCCGCCCTCTGCGAGAAGACCAAGAACGAAAAACGACTACCCTTGGGTAACAACTGACAACGACAAGAGAGAAAAAAGAGATTCCGAGAGAGAGATATATAGAAAAGAATAAGCGCCGCTTTGCCACCGCCACCTACTCGAATCCGAACAACACCCCCTATTCGCAAACACCATGGCTGATCCATACAGTATCTTGGGCCTCACCGGCCCGGCTGAGCAAGTCGTCCGCCTCATCGCAAGTCTCATCGAACGACACAAAGCCTACAAGGAAAACAAAACGCTCTCTACGGAAGTGCTCACTGCCTACACTACCTTGCAGGCAGACATCACGGAGCTTGAAAACATGCCGATCCATGGAACGTCGTCGCAGCACACGGGCTTGCTCCAACGTGAAATCGACGGCATCTCTAGCTTCATATTGAACTCCCTCGCTGAGCTGCAGAAAGAGTTGGACGACCCAAAAGCGAGACTCGGTGCGCTCGCCTCTGCGATGGGAGATAGAGAAGTCCTAGAGAAGCGAAAGCAAGAAGCGGACCGCCTTCACAAACGTATTGTACAAGCAAGCACGGGCATCGATACTCGCGCGGCCGTCGAGTCGATCGGCATCGATACTCGCGCGACTCGCGCGGACGTCGAGTCGATCAGACGAGGCACGGGTAATATGTTCAGGGCATCGATAAGAGCCGAACATAATCCTGCGTCGATATGTGTGAAGCTTGATTCTCGGGGGAGCGATGGATTACCAAACACGTGTGAGTCGCGTCTAAAAGCGGCTGTGCTACGGAGAGATAGGAACAAGCAAGTGGGTGCGACAGCAGTGGGACAGGGCGGAGTCGGGAAGACATGTGCCCTTCGAGCGATCGCACACGACGATGAGATTAAGGCGGAATTTTCGGGAGGAGTGTACTTCATGTCGTTGGGGAAAGATGGAAACGTGGGACGGCTGATTGAAGAACTGTGTCTGATTGTGGAAGCGTCCGGCGGGAACCAGACGGCTGTAGAAATGCGAGGGCAGAGCCGGTTGAAAGGGTGTTAGCGAAGGTACAAGCGTGGTTTTGTACTCATGTGTGTCTGTTTATCATTGATGATGTGTGGGTGGTGAATGATATAGACGCGAATATCCTTCAAAAGTTGTCTGTTCTGGCTGAGACTGCGGGGAGCAGCGGGGGAAAGACGAGCAGACTACTGTACTCCACGAGGGATAAGGAGCTGCGTCAGATTGGAGAGCGGGTTGCCTTCGAGCCGAGGGAGAAAGTAGGGAAAGAAGCAGTTGAGATGCTTGTTCACGCGAGTGAGGCGAATCGAGAGGAAGTGGATGATGCGAGATGCAAGGAAGCCGTGAGTGAAATACTGAAAATGTGTGGCGGATTGCCGCTTGCGCTGAACGTGGCGGGAACGAGCGTGAGGTACATGAGGGAAAGATGGCAGGGAGAAGTATCTGAAGCATGGGGGGCGTACCTTTCGAGGATGAAGAGTCGTAACACGATTCGTGGGGAGAGTCCGCAGGATGGATATTCGTCGTTGGATGGGACATTACATACGTCACTAGATATCCTGGAGTCGGATGTGGGAAGGAGTGGGGAGACGGTTGATGAATTTTCGTTTCGAAAGATGCACCGGAGTCTGTGCGTTATGAAGAAGCAAGACCGGATACCTTTGAGTTTGGTTGGAGATTTGTGGGAGATGGACGAGGAGCGGACGGAAAGGTGTGCAAAGCAGATGGAAAGGGTTGGACTAGTAGAAGTGCAGTATGAGAGGGGTTGTGGTGGGTTGCGGGTGCATGATCTGACGCACGATTTCGCGGTGGAAGAAGCGAAGAAGAAAGAGGGTGTAGAAGAGTGGTATAAGAAGATGGCGGATGTGTGCAGGGCAGGAGAAGGGTTGCTTGCGATGAGTGAGGACCGAGACGGAGAGGAGAAGAGCGCACGGGAGGAGTATGTTTTCGAGAATATATATCGTGTTTTGAAGCAGGGTGGGTGTGTAGAGGAGCTAAAGAGGCTATTTTTGAGTGCGCGATGGGTGAAGACAGTGATACGGAGAGGCGGGGTTTGGCAATACGAGGAAGCTGTGAAGGGATTGAGTAGAGACTTGAAGGGGAAAAGAGGAAGCGGGAAGGTGGGAATAGGACGGGGAGATGAGGATGCAGTGGATGGAATGGTTTTGATGATGCGGGCGGCGCGACTGAGTTTACCGTTTTGTGGTGAAAACAGTGCCGGGATTTACTTTCAACTATATGGGCGAGTGAAGCACAAGGCACGGGATTCAAGTTGTGTGCGAAAAATGCTGGAGGAAATTGAGAGATACGCACCACGGCCGTGGTTACAGCCTGTGAGTGAGTGTGTAGCGCGAGCCGATGGAAAGATGGTGGAGCAGATTGTTCTGCCACGTCACGGTACTGAAATTCAAGTGGGCATGGATTCCAGTGGTGAAGTGTATGGATGTCAGGTGGAGGGGTACGGGGCAAAAGTAACAGTTTTCACGCAATCTGCTGAGAAGGAGACGAAGATGGTTGAATTGGAAGGCGAGTTCGAATTCGAAACGGAGAGCCAGGGCCCAGGGGCCAGTGAAACAAGCAGTCAATTAGAAGGCGAGTTCGAAACGGAGAGCCAGGGCCCGGGGGATCTTGAAGCAAGCTGGCGCAAAATGTGTCGGCGTTTGAGGGCATATTTTGGAATGTGCTTTGGAAGTTTAACCTCCGAAGTGACTGGAGAAAACCCGAGCGTGACTGTAGAAAACCCGAGCGTGACTGCAGAAAACCCGAGCGTGACAGGAGCCACCTGCGCAATTCTCTGTGAGAGGAAGGAGAATGTTGTTGTGGGATATGATGACGGGACGTTAAGGCTGTGGAGTACGTCGGAGAGGAAAGTATTGAGAATTTTCCACGGTCACAAGTCGGACGTGTTTTGTGTTGCGATGAGTGGGGACGGAAGACGTATGGTATCTGGATCCCGGGACAAGAGCGTGCGGGTGTGGGACGTGGAGACGGGAGCACAAGTCGGGGAGGCGTTAGTTGGACACACGGGTGCAGTGGTTAGCGTTGCGATGAGTGGGGACGGAAGACATGTAGTATCTGGATCGGAAGACGAGAGCGTGCGGGTGTGGGACGTGGAGACGGGAGCACAAGTCGGGGAGGCGTTAGTTGGACACACGGATCCGGTGCGTAGCGTTGCGATGAGTGGGGACGGAAGACGTGTGGTATCTGGATCGGATGACAAGAGCGTGCGGGTGTGGGACGTGGAGACGGGAGCACAAGTCGGGGAGGCGTTAGTTGGACACACGGATTGGGTGCGTAGCGTTGCCATGAGTGGGGACGGAAGACGTGTGGTATCTGGATCGGATGACATGAGCGTGCGGGTGTGGGACGTGGAGACGGGAGCACAAGTCGGGGAGGCGTTAGTTGGACACACGGGTTGGGTGGAGAGCGTTGCGATGAGTGGGGACGGAAGACGTGTGGTATCTGGATCGGATGACAAGAGCGTGCGGGTGTGGGACGTGGAGACGGGAGCACAAGTCGGGGAGGCGTTAGTTGGACACACGGATCCGGTGCGTAGCGTTGCGATGAGTGGGGACGGAAGACGTGTGGTATCTGGATCGGATGACAAGAGCGTGCGGGTGTGGGACGTGGAGACGGGAGCACAAGTCGGGGAGGCGTTAGTTGGACACACGGATCCGGTGCGTTAGCGTTGCGATGAGTGGGGACGGAAGACGTGTGGTATCTGGATCGGAGGACAAGAGCGTGCGGGTGTGGGACGTGGAGACGGGAGCACAAGTCGGGGAGGCGTTAGTTGGACACACGGCTTGGGTGGTGAGCGTTGCGATGAGTGGGGACGGAAGACGTGTGGTATCTGGATCGGTGGACAGGAGCGTGCGGGTGTGGGACGTGGAGACGGGAGCACAAGTCGGGGAGGCGTTAGTTGGACACACGGATTTTGTGCGTAGCGTTGCGATGAGTGGGGATGGAAGACGTGTGGTATCTGGATCGTGGGACAAGAGCGTGCGGGTGTGGGACGTGGAGACGGGAGCACAAGTCGGGGAGGCGTTAGTTGGACACACGGGTTGGGTGCGTAGCGTTGCGATGAGTGGGGACGGAAGACGTGTGGTATCTGGATCGGATGACAAGAGCGTGCGGGTGTGGGACGTGGAGACGGGAGCACAAGTCGGGGAGGCGTTAGTTGGACACACGGATTGGGTGCGTAGCGTTGCGATGAGTGGGGACGGAAGACGTGTAGTATCTGGATCCCGGGACAAGAGCGTGCGGGTGTGGGACGTGGAGAGAGGGATCACACTTCATACCGGGAGGGAAGAGAATTGGGAAGAAATTAGGGCTCGGTTCCTGAAGACGGCAGATTTGGGTACTGCTTCCCGCGCAGGACGAACATCACAAATATTTTCAAGGGACGGAAGAATTGTGCAAAGGCGAGAGGATGGGTCTGAGGCTGTCTTGGCCCAGTTGGAGAGTTACGTAGTAGGCTTGCAGATAGACCACGATCACGGGGTCGCAGTTGCATGGGCGGGCAATCTGGTTGCTATCATGAAGCTAGTGGTGTAAGTAAGTATCGAAGTGCGATGGCCGCTTGCCGCCCGTGACAGTAGTAGTGCGTTGAGGGTTTTTTGCTTTGTTTTTGATTTATGAATGCGTGAGAAGCTCGCCTCACAGACGTTGCAATCCATGTACGTGTATGTATGTGTATGTATGAACTAGCGACATGCTTCCGTTCATCGTGCGCTCTTGTGCTCAAAAGTTATAAAGTATTCGTGAATGAACGGTGTGTTGAGAAGCGTTGCAGACCGGGTCAAAGCGGGGACCAATCTCACTTTGAAGAGGCGATGTACACGTGCACAGGTTTCCACGTGCACAGGTTCCACGTGCACAGGTTTCCACGTGCACAGGTCCACACGTGTGAGAAGACAAGTGGCAAACGAGGCCAAGTTTTTTCCTCAATTTTACTATAAATTTCAACTTTACTAAACATTTGGGCCTCTCCCTTTACGGAGCGTCAGCGTCGTCACTCAGTCCAATTACGAACACCGTCCTTGCAAGGGGCATCGGTTACTGTGAGAGAAAAGCACTGAGCAGAAGGGAAAGTGTCCTGGCCGGCACAGGTAACACAAGCGGCCTCCAGTGACAGATCGACCGCGATAAGCTGTCTGATCACAGCCAGCAGCGAGACGGATAAGCGAGACGGATAAGTAGGAGCGAGAGTAGAGACGACGAAAGATGTTCTATGAGTTTGTCTAGCCTGCGCCCCGCCGCCGCCACGCTCCGCCAGCGGCGACAACAGCGCGCCCCAGCTCCCCATCCCGCTGCTGCTGCAAGCCGGGTCGCGGCGGGGAAGCGTCCGCCACGCGACTAGAACGCGGCGGGGGCACGAGCGCTGTCCATACGTGCGGCGGCAACGGGCGCGCGCACGCGCAAGGGAGAGCGGGGGAAGGGGGAGGGAGGCACAGCGCGTCGGGGTGAGGGCGCGCGCAACGGCGGCGGCGGCGCTTATGCGGACGCGCGCGCTTCGAAAGGGATGCGCGCATTGCTGCGCACGAGCGGGAAGCAGAGCGGCATGGTGCTTGCGCTGCGAGTTGCTCGTGGTTTGAACGGGAAGCGTTTGCGGGCGGAGCTGCAGCCATGCTACGTGCGGCGTAGAAGACGCACGGCGGCGCGATTTGCGCTAACCCGCCGGCACGGGCCATCCGCCCGCACCTCAGCGACTGCGACCGGCCTCGCCCCGCGTGGGGCGCGGCGACGTAGGCACGTTGGGAGAGGGCGCAGTTGCGCGCGGCGGACGGCGGCCCGGGTAAGCTGAAATGCGCCTTGTATCCGCAGCAGTCGCGCGGGATCGCCGCGGGGCGCAACAGGTGGTACCCTTGGGTAACACCCAAGTAAAGCAGTGATTAAGCAATCAATGTAACGAGAAATTTAGAGAAATGCATGTGATTGTGAGAGTCGGCAACACTTCGGCAACACTCGTGTGCGCTCATAACGGACACATGTGGACAAATGGGAAAACGTTGACACGCAGAACACGTGCGGGATCACACTTCATACCGGGAGGAAAGAGGATTGGGAAGAAAATCACCAGGCGGAGCCTGTTAAGACACACCTTCAGGGTGTGTCTTAACAGGCTGGTTTTTGCTTTGCCTTGCCCGGTTTTGCCAGGAATACTTTTAAATTCTTAACAAATACCGTGTGCTTCTTCAGCCGTTGCTTTTCTTAAACTCAAAAATTGAAACGTAAGGGCCAATCATAGCACGCCAAATCACCACTTTGGGCAAAGCAAACCAAACTGCAGAAAAACGGGGCATGTTAAGACACCCTGAGGACGGCAGCCTTGGGTACTGCTTCTCGCGCAGGACGAACATCTCAAATATTTTCACAAATATTTTCAAGGGACGGAGGAATTGTGCAAAGGCGAGAGGATGCGAGAGGATGCGTCTGAGGCTGTCTTGGCCCAGTTGGAGAGTCAAGCACTCTTGCAGATAGACCACGATCATGGGGTCATAGTCGGACGGTCGGGTCATGTGGTTGCTATCATGAAGCTGGTGGTGTAAGTAAGAATCGAAGTGCGATGGCCGCTTGCCGCCCGAGACAGTAGTTGTGTGTTGCAACTGTGCGCGAAAGTAGTGGGGAGGGTTTTTTGTTTTGTTATTGTTTTGTTATGAATGCGTGAGAAGCTCGCCTCACGGACGTTGCAGTCCATGTATGCGTATGTATGAACTAAACAATAGTCTAGGGATGCGAGCGGACCTGACGTGTACTAACTGTGGCATCGAGAAGGTTGTCATCCACGCAGACTAAGAAACGTTCACAGCGGCGTCAAGCATTCGGACAGAAGCGATAGAGGCACCACCTCGCAGTCTGCCAGCACGCAGGAGATATTGTGATGCAATGACCCACGTGGGTTTGGTGCCCACGGATTCAACATGGAGGTTAAACTCAACAAATAACTCACAAATGAAAGGATATCTGCTGTCTCTCAGCAGTCAGCTGCGCCCTTGTGCTCACTATATTCTATCTTCTCTTGAAAATGCAATAATGTGCAGGCACCTGATCATCAGATGCGTCAGTTGCGTGCGAGTGGAGATGTAGAGGTAGTTGTATTAGTGAATCAACGGTGTGTTGAGAAGCGTTGCAGACCGGCTCACAAGGTCAAGGCGGGGGCCAATCTCAATGTTGAGAGGCGATGGGAACACGTGCACAGGTCCACACGTGTGAGAAGAATAGTGGCCAACGAGGGTTTAACTTTTTTCTTCAATTTTACGATAAATTTCAATTTTACGATAAATTTGAGCTTCCCTCTACAGTATCAATCATGAGTTGTACAGTTGTACTGTACAACTCTACTGTTGTGAGAATCGATCTTACAATTAGATCCGTGATCGATACTCGGTAAACAAGATGTACCCTTGTCTCAATGTAAGACTATCAGCAACTCGCATTCAGCAACCGGCATCCTTGTGAATTACACATATGTCGTTGTTCTGAATGAGCACCTAGAGGAATGCAGATGAAACAAGCATACGCCAAGGGACGCGTACCCTTGTAGCGAACAAAAGAGCGGCAGAAAAGAGCGTTCAACGTACATTACAACTGCATGCGAACGGTTGGCAATGGTACGAAGAATATATATGCAGACGGTAGCGGCAAAACACCGTCAAGCGAAGAAAAGCGGGCAATGCAACTTGCGGCAAGGAATGCATATCGCAATTCATGTATAGCGACGATGAGATGCGGTGAACGAAGAGTCACAGTAGCGTAGTACTTAAAGCGGCATAAACATACGAAGAAAAGATAGAAGGCAGCAGCCCAGCGTTTATGCTGATCATCGTATGCACCCCAACCCATTTATCCTCCCTCAGGAGCCGGATTAGGTTCCCCCCTTTTTCGTCAAATCCGTAGCACCCCACTCTGACGATCCCTGATCGAATCATGGCCAATCATTTATCAACTGTACAGCTATACTGTACAAGTGTACAACAGCAATGCAAGCAGATCATGAATGAAGTTTGATCTCCTGTTTAAGTTACAGTTACAGAGTGCACTTCATGAGAATTCTAGGTTTGGCAGAAAAACACCGGTGACAAAACAGACTGTTGCACCGTGATCAGTTTGTCACGGTGGGTATGTATGCTGCATTTTTTCTGGATAAACGGGAATGAAAGGCTATTTCTCCCCATCAAATTTTATTGGTTGCAAGAAGTGGAATGTATTACTCTGTTCCAGGATGGGGTGATCATGCATTCCACTATCACTGTAATGTGTCCCTTTCCACAATTTATTTTCCCGAAACTGTTTGTATTTCTTACAAAGTCCTGGCTTTTCACACAAAAATGTCTGCAACTTGTGGAGAAAGTTAGACAGGTGTCCCAGTTAAACTTGCGAAACTATTGGAATTCGTACTAATTCTTCACATAGCCATCCTTTCCGGAGCGTTGGATCCCGATCCAGACGAGGCCCTATAAAAGCCGATTGATGAGTTGCACCGCGCTTTTCTATCTAGCCGCCGAGACAGATCTAGGGATTGCATCCAGTACTTCAAATCCCAGGATCTCACCCCGGTGACACGAATCACAATTCTCTCATCTTCGTTGGCGCCTTTCTCAAGCCCTGACACTAATACTCCTAGGAGTATTAGTGAGATAGGACTATGTATCTGTGTATCAACACGGGGATCCGGGGCACTGAGTACAGAAGCTGCACCAGAATGCATGTACAGGTACATTATTTTTCTATTCATTGAGCATGTCCACAGTGATCCCAAAATATGCTAAGATGTTGTTCCCTATTGCTCTCCCCAGCGAATTCACGCCCTCCATTCTCTTATATTATTCTTAACAATGTTACGCAACACTGATCCTTCAGTTTGAAGTTTTGAAAATCGCTTTATGCCTCATCATTACGCCCCCTTCATCGCCCTTTTATTTCTATATCTGCACTGCTCCTATGATTTCGGTACGATGACACCAATCGTCAAAGACATTCAACAGTTCTATCTGTTTCTGACGACTTTCTATGCATCATTCCTCTCTGCATACTTTTCAATGTCAGGGCCGGAGAAAGGTAGTTCTTTGCGTTCCGATCGTTCTAACACCGAAGCACAGTTAGTTTCTGTTCCAGTCGTTCTCCCTCGAGATATATGTCGCCCAGTTGTGCGACGAGATGGCCGTGGTCGTTTCTCAATTCGATCTTCGCAGTCTCGGCAGAGAGTACAGCGAGCCCAACAGCAAAGAGATTACATTCGTCAAAGAGAAATTTTGAAGAAGCGACTTTATGAGGATTATCTGCACGCATTTTGCGTGCAAGGTAACAGCAGCGATCATATCTCCACTTCAAGGTCAACAGGACCGCTCGTTGAAATATTTGAACGTCTCTTAAAGAAGCCATATCGCCTCGGAAGAACTGAGCGATGCATGAAAATGCGCTCTTTCTACATGGAAGGGGGACACTTGCGTCACAATAACATTTCTAGTCACGACCAAGGACTTCTTACACCTCCATATCCGACCCTTGCAAAGAGATCGAAGAAATACAGTGGCTGCCGCCTGCCCTCTGCCACTAAACGTATGACTGAGATGGCGGATGTCAGTGAGTGGATCAAATCTGCGTGGTCTGTGAACGCTCTTACAACAAATACTGAAATGGAGGCATACGAAATATGCAAGAGTATTATGGAGACCTACAATCCTGTGGTCAGGGCCACATATAGTTCAACGTCGGAGAGTCGTTCAAGATATTCTGAACCTGAAACAGAGACGCCACGGGGCGACTTATGTGCGAACTGTAGCATTTCGCTTTCGGACCGCTCCAGAGCCATCTGTGCAGAACCCAGTCGCTCACCTCAAGAGGTCAATGATGAGCAACGTGAAGTTGAGCATACTTCCCTTCCAAATAATAGCACGGATGCTGCTGCCAGAATTGTGGATCCGAACGACGCTTCAGAAACTCAAGCTGCTCACGCAGAGTCTGGGCACGGATCGGAGCATGATTATATTCAAAAAAGAAAACTGGAACGAATGATTGAACCGGCCCTCAACGATGATAACTTCTTGATAGTGTGCTCTCTATTTGACGAGCAGCCGGATATTGAATTCGGGATGTATTCTGGAGTTTACTTAGACCAGTGCCGTCGTGAAAAAATTACAGCAACCGCTTTCATGAAGGAAGTGTCACTTACTCTCACTGGAAGAAATTCGGTATTGTCAACAGAAGAGAGCATGAGGAACGCGAACAGAGATTGCGGTCGACCATGCATACTTTTGAAGCAATTCGGGCTGTCCATGGCAAGAAATCGTATCAACAGATGCGCTG